CACCTGCACCCAGGATCATGGGCAGCCAGAACCTGGAAGTAGTCTGGTATCCAAAGGGAAGTGAATGGACCAACAAACTAGGAGATGCATAGTCATGCTGATTCAAATCCACGCAGAGGGCTCTCACTGCAGTGAAAAGGACAGACCCACCATAGATCCGATGATGGGGACAAATCTCAAAATCCTTACACTGAGCAAAAAGTCGCAGCAGGTGTGCTGGCGCAGATCCTGAGAGGCTGAGGCAGGAGGTCTGCAAGTTTGAACCCAGCCTGGGCCACTTAACAATTTAGCAAAATGTGTTCTCAAAACATAAAAATATAAAAAGGCAGGGGATACAGTTCAGTGTGAAAGCCCTGGGTTCAATCCCTAGTCCAGCCAAAAAGAGAAAAAGAGAGAAAAATCAGGGGCAAAGCCGGGTGTGGTGGCTCACATCTGTAATCCTGGCATTCGGGAGGTTGAGGCAGGAGGATCCTTAAAAGTTCAAGACCAGCCTGGGCTACAAAGTGAGCTCAAGGCCAGCCTGAACTGCACAGCGAGACCCCGTCTCAAAAAGACAAAAAAAAAAAAAAAAAAAAAAAAAAAAAAAGAAAAGAAAAAGAAAAAAAAGAAATCAGGGGCAAGAGAACAAACTTTGCTGTCAAACTTATGAAACCAGCAAATCGAATTGGCCTGGAGCTGGGAGGACAGCAACCTCTGAACCAAGCAGAGGGACCCTCTGGGGTGACAGAAGTGTCCCTGTGGCTGCCCTCACAGCGTGTGTGTGATCAACTCGCTGAACAGTGGCACCTGAACACATGGTCTGTGTGATGGGCAAGTTAGACCTCCACGAAGTGGATTTCAAATACAATCCCGCTCCAAGAGCCTGCACGAGGGACTGAGGCTCACCTTGTCAGCAGTGACCACGGGCCCCTCCCCTTCCTGAGTGCCCGACAGGCCAGGGGAGCCGCCCAGGGCCCGGGGACATTGCCTAGCCAGCTTCCCGCTGCTGTGAAATGCCCAGCAGTGCGCTGCCAAGGCTGGAATTTCCGGCTGAACGAGAAGGCCTGGGCCAGGCCCCAGGTAGGACCAGAGGGCTGGGCAGTGTCCACTGCTCTGCTGGGCCGAGGAGGGAGGCCAGGGCGTCCTACTGTGCCTCACCGTAGCCATACTATGCATAGCCCGCCACCAGGCCTGGTGGCACCCAGGCCTGCAGAGTGGGCTGTGGAGACACAGGGGATACAGCAAGGGCCCAGCCCCACCTGGGCCACCCCAGAGTCAGGGCGACTTTGCAGCCCAAGCCAGGGCTGAAGACCCTCCTGGTTCTGCCATTCAGGGCCCCTTAGGGTCTGTCCCCAGGTAGCTGGCCTGTCCAGGGCCACACAGGACTCTCGGGGGTGGCAGGGGAGCCAGCTCCACCCTGTCCCACTCCATCCCTGTTGTCACCCGCACCTGCTCTGCCTCTCCTCGTCTCTCAGATACACAGCTGTTTGTTCCCAGGGGTCTCCTCTCTGTCGCCCAGGCAGCTGGTGGCCTTGCCTGGCAGGGACAGAGTGAGTTAACTCTTCCTCTTCCTCACCTGCTCTACACCTAAGACTCTGGCAGCCCAGGGCTGGGCTCGAGAAGTCAGGGCAGGCCCCTACTGCTGGGCAGTTTCGGCCCCAACCTGTGACCCTGAGCTGGTCACACCACTTGAGCTCAGTTTTCTCATCTGTGAAATGCAGATACAGTGGTGGTAGCCCACACCTGTGATCTCCAGGGGGTTTTGTTTTGAGATAGGGTCTCCCTGTGTAGCCCAAGGTGGCCTGGAACTCACAGCAATCTTCCTGCCTCAGCCTCCTGAGTGCTGGGATTACAGGCACATAGCATCTTGCCTTATATAATCCCAGCTCTTGGAAGGCTGAGGCAGGAGAATCGCCACAAAAATCGCTCTCTCAAAAAATAGTATCTTTTTAAAAAGCAAGCATTTTACTTTTTATTACCCCACTCTGCAGCACAGCAGAGAGAGAAGGGCAGGCTCAGATAACACCGATGCAATCATTATTCATTCAAGAGCTGAGCTTGTATGAAATAAAACCAATCAGAGCTCCTGGTCACCATTTCACGTCCTACACAGCCGAACCTGGAACTGATAATTGCTAAATAAATGTACATTTATCATGTTCCCTGTTAAAATTCCAGCAAAGAAACTTGACATTTTTAGTTAAGCCTATGTAGCCTTCACACAGATAAATGTTCTATTTCTGTTAGGCTTTCAGAAAGATTTAAAGAAACAGCTCTGCACCTCTCCTCCTCCCTTCCCCCACCGCTCCTTCTCCCCCCCTTCCCCTCTATACCTCCCCCTCGTTTCCTCCTCATCCTCCCCCTGTCCTCCTTTTGGGTCTGAGCTGGGAACCAAGACACCGCCTGGGTGTTTAAGACCCGCCCCCACGAGGTCCTTGTGTTGCTGGGTCAGTAGGTCTCCTTGCGTCCCATTGGCTACTGCGTCATTCAATCATCAGGCTCCGCCTCCTTGGGCCTGCCTAGGAGACCCTCCTCCCCCCTCAAGTCCATAGCTCCCAGTTGCCAGCCCAGTGTTCTGCGGACCTTGCAGTTCAGAGCTAAGATTGCAGGGGCAAGAGAGGCCGGTGTGGACAGCAGGCCGGGGGCACCAACTACAGGTGCAGAGGACAGAGGGTCCCTGGGCGCCCTAACCCCAGGCGCCACCTGCTCACATTGAACCAGGGGAGCGGGTGGCCGCTTCCGGGCACCGTCACCCAGGCTGTGTGTCTGGCCCAGGGAATCGATCACCCTCTTGGTTCCCTCAGCGCCTGGAACACCTGTACCCCAGGGCTCCTGGGTCGTTCCTCTTCCTCGCTGCCCTCAGCCAGGTTTCCCAGCCCTCCTGGGCCCCTGCACAGTGAAACCCTGTTTCAAAAATAAATGAAAATAAGTAAAATCCTCATGTGACTTTTCGGGCAAAGATATGGAATGTTGAGCGAGGGAAGCTGGGGAGGGAAAAAGGGGGTGACAAGAATCTCTTTGGGGTGGAGCTGAGGAAGCTAGGTATAGAGAAGAGGGTGCTGGGCTCAGGGTCACTAGCGAGGCTGAGCCGGCACAGTTTCCCCTCCTTGCATCCACACGGCGGCGAGGCCACATGGAGCTCCCGGGGCCTGCACTTGCACAGCGCTCTCCTCTGCGGCTGTGCCTTTGCCCCCGCCAGCCCTTCCTGGACACCTGGTCACCTCCCCGCCAGTCTTTTCACCCACTTGGGTCAGGGCTGCTGCCGTAGGCATGTGGCCTCTGGTGGGGCAGGGCTTGTCTTAGTCACCCTTCTCAGGGAGCACCCTGCCCGCGCCCGCCTGCCTCAGGTGCCCAGCAGGTATTTCTGGATGGAATCATCACTGTGTTTATGCTGTGGCCGAGGACAGCTGGTGCTGACAGACTGGCCTCTGAGTCACCACAATTCTGCAGGCGAGTCAAGGCACCCGTGGCTTTGTAGCAGGCCTGATGATTGCCCCATTGCACGGATGAGGAAACTGAGGTCACAGATGAGTTGTAGCTCACCCTGGCTTCCTCGCAGCTGGATGTAGGCCATCTAGGAACTCAGTCCTGAGTGCAATCGATTGGGCCTGAGACTCTTTTCTCGGTACTGGTGATTGAACCCCAGGCTTTGTGACAAACACCGTCCCCAACTACTTATTTTTTGAGACAGTTTCCCGGGCTGGCCTCACACTTGAGATTCCCCCTGCCTCAGCCTGAGACTCTTGTCTTGGCGCTGTCTGAAGCAGTAATGGCAGTGCACCCGGAGGCTGCTGAGAAGCTGGTCAGGGGCTGGGGCTGCCTGCCAGATGGCACGGAGCCTGAGGACAAAGCCTTTCGGGCGAGCAACCTCCCCGGCCGGCTTGTGTAGAGCATCTGCCATGTTTGAGGCTGTCATGGGGGTTCAGGTTCTGCTCTGAGTCTCCAGCACAGCCAGGGAACGAGAGCTCCCCACTGGCCGCCGGCCACAGGGACACAAAGTTCCTTTGCACACGGCCTCCCTGTGTGCCGCTGGCTCGGGGCACCGGGCTGGGGTGGCAGGAGTTTGTATTGGCTGGCTCCCTCTCCACTTGGGGCTTCCTGCTGGCTGGCTCTCCTCTGCCTGGGCAGCTGCCTGGACCTCGGAGTGTGACCCTTCTGGGAACCTAGAGGGCACTCAGGCTTGGGGGGGTGGTCTTGGAATGAAGATGGGGTTCTCCCTGCTTGGAAAACTGGGACCATGCAGGGAGCTTGATCATAGCAGGGCTGGCTGCACCCCGCCCCTGCCACCACACCTGTGCCCTGCTGAAAGCAGACCAGCGCTCCCTGCCCGCCAGGCCTGCACACATGTCAGCTGGCCCAAGCCTCATGACAGCCCCGGGCTCTTCCCCTGCTGCGTAGAGGAGGACAGCGAGGAGGCCCAGAGAATTTAGTGGCCATCTGGGTGACCCCAGCCAGGTGTGACTGCTGTGGCTCAGACTCTGGTCTCTGCAGGTGCAGGGTCTGTGCTGCCTGGCTCTCTGTTCCTAGCCTCACAGCCAGGGTCCCCCCAACAAGCCTAGGGCCGATGCCCTGGCTGTCCCCCACTGCTCCCTCCATTAGGGGTCCCTAGATTGCAGAGACCGCCCCAGGCCCAGCCCCGCCCAGCGCAGGCAGCAGAGGTGGCAGGCGATCCAGGGTGGGGTCCGACAGCTGGTTTCGTTCTTTCCCTGGCCCCGCATAGGTGCTCCAGAAAAACTGGTCACTGTCTGTGGTCGGGGTGTGTGTGGGGTGGGGTGGGGTGGAGCTGGGGCGGTGAAGAAACCACATTAAAAAACCACAGGAAACGTCATCACCAAGACAGAGAGGACAAGGGGCAGCAGGCTGGCGGAAGTCACACGACGATGAGAAAAGAAAAGAAAACTTCTCGATTCTGGTGGAGGAAAGGCGACAATATAATTATCCTCATTTATAAAAACTGCTTCCCATTAATGCCTAATTCCTGGGAAGTGAAACAATGATTATCTCGTTAGCTACGCGGCAGATTAACTTTGTCGCAGGTTTTATTTGATGGAAGCCGCCAGCTCGCAGCACGGAGGGTCGGGCCTGCGCTTCTGGAGCTCGGTCACCGCTGACAGCTTTTCCTCCGTGAGGAAGCAGAGGCCAGGGCTCTGCAGTCGTTAAACCTCTTACTACATGCGGTCATATTATTTGGGTGACGCGTGTGTGCTTGTCTGGTCTCGACACAATGCAAGCTCGGAAATTGTCACAGCCTGGGTACTGTGTCCTGCGAACAGGGGGAGGAAGGTCGCTCTGTGCCGCCTGCACTGAGGCCCTTGGCATTGTCCCCCTTTTAGAGAAGCCCTGTGGCCCCTGCTCAGCCGCAGCAGAGGGCTCCCGGCTGTCGGCTGTGCCAGGAGGTAGTGGAGCAAATGTCACTCGTCCAGCTCTGGACACAGGAAGTCGCTGGCAGAGCCCAGCTCCCACCCCCACTCCCAGTGGTGGCCTCTCTCCTGATGACAGACAAGGAAGCCAGGAAGAGGACCTCTGACCAAAGGAGGCACCATTGTCCTTCCGTCGCCTCCTGAGCACATCACGGTCCCCACTGCCCAGCCTGGGGCTCCGGCGACCTGTGCCCGCCTCCTCCTGCCTCTGCGGCCTACCTGCTCACCTTTGGCCTCCCAGCGAAGATCTAGGGTAGTGCCTGAGTCCAGCAGAAACCTAACAAAGCCACCAAGAGAGTGGAGAAAATTCAAGCAGCTGTATTTTTAAAAGTTAAAAAAAAAAAACAGATAAAATTTACTTTAGAAATACATTTTTGTTAAATCAGGTGTGGTGGTGCACACCTGTAGGCTGAGACAGGAGGATCATCACAAGTTCAAAACCATCCTGGGCTCCATAGGGAGTTGGAGGCCAGTCTAAACTGTACAGTGACCGAGGTGTGGTAGCACACATCTGTGATCCCAGCATTCGGGAGGCCGAGGGAGTTCAAGGGCAGGCTGGACTGCATAGTAAGACCCTGTCTCCAAAAACATTTTTTAAAGGAAAAGTCAATATAATCAGATCTCATTTTAGGCGCAGAATTTTTTTCCAAAAGAGTAGTAAGCATCCCCTCCCCCACACCAAATAATCCCCAAGTCCCCCCTTCCAGTCCCCCCCAGTCACGCCTCCAGGGGTCTGGGTGCCATATCCGCCAGGGGCTGAGGTCTGGGGCCCAGGACCCAGCTCAGGCAGCTGGTGCAGTCAGCACTGCTCGTGTCTCAGGGTATCAGATTTTTGGAGCTGTGTTGGGCCCCGGGCCCCCTGGGCTTTTTGGGGTTCCTCTGGCCCAGTCCGGGCTATGCAGCCCCACTCCAGCCTTTGAACCTCTGTGTTGTCCCTAATCCTTCTGCCCCTGTCACCTCCACAGGACCCGGCTGCCCCAGGCCCAGTGAGGGCACTGTGCCCTGTGAGGGTACCTGGGCCAGGCACAGGTGGGCGGCAGGATGACACCCATGGCAGCTCTGGGAGCCCTTTCATCCCAGCCAACAGGTCCTGCTGGTTTGCCGCTTGGAGAGCCTTTAGCCAGTTCCGCACTAGTTAAATGCTAACTTGTCTCTGCTGTTTGTGCAGAGGTGAGGAGAGCCAGGGCCTGCCCAGCCAGAGAGGGAGGGCAGGTTTCAGGTCCCCTCCCACCTCCCCCCATCTCCCCAGCCCTGAGAGTCAGCCGGGGGAGAGGCTGGGCCCATGACTGCTATCCGAGCCCTGGCATCGGAGGTTTCTTAACCGAGACGCTCTGTGCCCATTTTACAGGGCGAACAGCTGAGGCAGAGGGGTGAGGTCATCTTGAGTCACAGTGAGCCCAGCCATGGAGGAAGACCAAAGAAGGTCCCCCAAGCTCCCTGGGGAGAGAGCCAGTTGGGGATCCCAGTTGGGACACAGGCTAGGCTGCTGCTCCTCTGTCCTGTGGTTGCTGGTGACAGAGCCACTAGCCTGCAGGCTCTCACCTGCCCGCCAGGGACATGGACACCAAGCCTGGGTCCTGGGGTCACCAGCTACGGTGACCAGGCCACTGGATGGGGACTCATGGCTTTCACTCTAGGCCTGACGCTGGGGCCACCCTCCCCCATGGACAGGTGGAGAAGGATGTCCCTGTCCCCTGAGGACTGGGACTTGGGCAAAGGGGAGGGGTGCAGCCTCTGTGCCCTCGAGGGGTCCTTGGAGGCGCCCCTGGCTCCTCATGTGCCTCACAGACAGGTCCTCTACCTCTGACCTCTGGCTCAGAGGACTTCATTCCCCAGCTGTCCCCAGGGGCTGCCTCCTCTGGACACCTGACAGGTGACTCTGCCATCTCCAGGACACTGGACCGGAGCCACCCGGAGCCAGAACCGGTTTGAACCAAGCAAAGGTGCATTGAGGCCAGCTGGGCAGGAGGCCACAGCAGCATAAGCCATTGTGAGGCCAAGGGGCAAAGGCCCAGGGGGGGACACCACCGTCTCCCAGCCCGGCAAGGGGCCCCACGGCACCCTGCTCTTCCGGGTGGCCTGCGGACGGACGGCAGGGTCTGCAGCTCTGCTGCGACCAGGGGATGTGGCCGAGGTCGGAGGCAGACACTTCACCTCTGCCTCCCCATGATGCCGGGCCTGGGCACGGGTCAAGGTGGAAGGGTGGCAATCGCCCCTGGAGGGACACGGCCCTGGTCTGCCCAAGGGGCAGCAGAGGACACGTGCCACCTTCGTCAGCCCCCGCGCTCGGCCCTTGCACGGAGGGCGCTGCGCTGACCTCGGGAGGCCCGCCCTCCCGGCCTCGGTTTCTGCCTGTTTACTTCCTGCTGCAGTGTGGCTCCGGGCACAGGGGACCCTGGTCAGGTCCTGGCTCCATCACCATGCAGGGGACAGACTTGGGCCAGTCATGCCTGCCTCTTGGCCCGCCTCAGACCCTAGGCGACCCTCCTGCCTCAGCCTCTTCAGTGTGGGAGTCCAGCGTGTGCCTCCATGCCCCGTTTGAGAATCCTGGGTTTTGAACCAAGCATGAAACCAGAAAAGCTCTGAGCCCTCAGGTCTCCCCCAACTCCAGTCACTGTGCGCCTTCCCCTCCCCAAATCCTCCCTCCTGGGCCCAGGCAGTCCAGGGGTGCAGGCTGCCACCACCTTTCCCTGCAAGCCCGGGGGTGGTCTTTCCAGCACCCCCCCTGCGTGTGTCCCGTGACTACAGTCCACCCACCCCTGCCAGGGAGCGAGCCCAGCGCTGTTTCATAGGTCAGGGGACCCAGGCCTTGCTGCACGTCCCTTAGCAAGGTGGGGACAGGGCATGGTTGTGACCCCAACCAGGGCAGCCCCACCCCCGGGTGCCCCACCCACCCTGACCTCTCTGATGTGAACTCAGAGCCTCCCTCAGGCCCTGAACCCACAGCCCAGCCAGTGATGTCAGCATTGCCATGGCAACACCGGGCAGGACCAACCCCGCGCCAGGCCTCCCTTTCTGTGGACTTTGCCACGCGTTGCCAAGTCCCTGGAGCCTGCTGGACGGGTTGGCACAGAGCAGGGAAGCTGAGGAACCCACATCGCACCCCAGCAGCCGGCAGCCTGCACACGGTGGCCCGGGCTGTGCGGTCGGGGGGCTCCCAAGGGGTCTCTGCAGTCCTCCGTGCAGTCCGAGGCCCTGGGCTGCAGTCTGGGCGCAGTTAGGGGCCGGGAGGGCCGCAGGCAGCGGCGAGGTCAGGCCGCTTGGCCCCGTTTATCTTGCAGCAAACCTGGGTGGGGACAGGGACAGGAGAATGCGAGGCTTGGCACTGTCCTTTGTCATGCCCTGTCGCCTGGACCCGCCCCCGGCTTACGGGGGTGCCGGGGTGCCGAGGACAGCAGCCCCTGCGCTGGACTCCACTCTCTGCTGCCTGACGCCCGCGCCGGTTTCCCAGGGCTGCGCTGCACACTGAGAAGGAAAGGAAAAGGCCGCGAAGGCCAAGGGGGGTGGAGAGGAATTTATAGAAATCCGATGACCGCATAACCTGGGCCTCTCCGCCGTAGGAGGCCACGTGGACTTTGGGATGGAACTCAGTCAATAAAACAGTCAATTGGTCAATCAGTGGCGTGAAACTCAGAGCCTCACACTTGTGTTTTGAGAAAACGTCTTGCTTAAGCACCCAGAGTGGGCTCAAACTGGTGATCCTCCTGCCTCAGCCTCTCAAGCAGCTGGGAATACAGGAGTGGGCCACCATGGTTGCCCAGCAACTGTGATGACACTGAGGATGATTTTTAAGTAGTTTTGCCTTACTTTGCAAACTCTTCACTTATTTTGGAAAACAGAAGAGCCCCAGGAGGTCTGAACTCTTCTTCTTTTGGTTTGTGTTTGTTGTCGTTGATTTTAGTTTTGTTTTTTTGAGACAGAAGCTCACTATGTAGCCTGGGCTGGCCTCGAACTCATGGAGATCCTCCTGCCTCAGCTTACTTGTGCTAGGATCACAGGCGTTAAATGCCTTGACTGAGCACTTGTTAGAACCTCGAGAGGAAGCCTGTCTACCTCAATCCCCCAGGTTGGCCTGGAGGACAGAGCAGAGTTGGTACCCTCCAGGGGGCGCAGGAGGGATCCAGGTTCGAGGAGAGACCTAGTAAACACCGATAAAACTGGGTATGATGACCCACACCTGTAAACCCAGCACTTTGGGGGGCTGAGGCAGGAGGGATGGGAATTCAAGCTGCAGCCCAGGCAACTTAGCAAGACCCCGTTCATTGCAGAGGTGCTGGGCTCAATCCCCAGGACCACAAATGCAAAATAAATAACCAAATTAATATGAAATAAAAGAACTACGACTACTTTATCACAGATTGCAAAGGCCATGTCTTATGATGAATATCCGACCCGAAAAGGCCTGAGTGTAGCCGGTGGGATTCTGGTCCCTTTGTACATTTTTTTTAGTTTTGGCAAAAAACAATAGATTATAAAAAATGGATTTCTGAAGCAAAGGACATACATATGTACATATATAATATTTTCTAACCAAAAAAGGCAGTATAGATTGATAAGAAAAGGAGAACCTTAAAGACCGACCAAGCAGCTCCCATGGCAAACAAAGCTTTATTTTTCATTGTTTATTTTTTGATTTTGACCCAGCTTGTACACACCCAGGACCAGAACCCCAGAGACCAAAAGATCAGCATAGCCCAGGGCCTCAGAGGCCTCAAATTTCCCGGGCTCCTGTGCTGTGTCACTCACGGGAAACCCTCTTTCCTTGCAGGAGAGACACACAACACACAAGTTTATGTCTCACATTTCTAAAATTCGAAGACATCTTATTCTCTAGTTGATGTTCGCATAGAAGATGCCTGCATTTTTTTCCACTAAAAATTAAAAATCTCTGCCGAGCACAGGTGCACCAGAGAATCAGGAAACAGGATGGTGATAGAGTCACCAGCAGGATTTACCTCCTACCCCCCCATCCCTTTGTGTCCCTGGTCACCCGTAAGGATTGAAGGGTGGCTCCCAGCCCGGCCTGAAGAGGCTCAGGAACCATAATCTGCAGCCCTCTGACCACCGCTGCAGAGGGCAGATGGACGACGAGGCCAAACTGAACACAAATCAGAACAGCAGTGAACCTGGTGTGGTCATACATATCTGCAACCCCGGCACTTGCAAGGCTGAGGCAAGAGGATTTCCATGAGTTTGAGGCCAGCATAGACTACAGAGTGAGACCCTGTCTAAAAAAAGAGAGAGAGGGACAGAGCCAAGAGGCCATGAAGGCCAGGTGGGGAAATTTCAAACCAAAAAAAAAGAATAATAACCCAGTTTACAGCACCTACCCCTCAGTAATTAATAAGCTGGAGTATGACTTTTATTTTATTTTGTTAAACAGCGTCTTTAAGTCGATGTCTTTATACTGGTCATCTCCAGCTGCCTGCCATCCCAGTGGGTGCCAGTTGGGCCCCCACTTCCTGGTGCTTGGCTCACGGGGTCTCCCTCGGGGCCTGAGCATCTGAATTTCCAAACAGCTGCCCAGGACACCCATGCGGCCCTCACCCTGAGACCACCCGAGGGGTCTCAGGAAACGCACTGTGCGTTCCAGGGCTCAGGAGCTCCCAGATGGGCACCTGGCCTGAGAGGTACCAGGCGGCAGGGGACGCTCAGTGTCAGTCTCCTCACCTGGAAGATGTACTTGAAACAGAGAGCTGAGGCAGGAGAATCTCAGGTTGGAGCCCTGTTCAACAACTAAGGAGCTTAGTGAGATCTAGCACTGAGCCCATAGGTCCCAGACGTGCAGAGAGAGACAGAGGCCCAGAGGTAGACGGAGTGACAGAGACAGACACAGGGAGAGACAGAGACAGGGAGAGACAGAGAGTGCGAGCCCTTACTGCTGTGGAGAAGAGGCATCAAGCCAGACCTGGCGCTGTTCACCTTGAAGGCCTTAGCCCGGCCCCAGAACGCACCTTGGACACCGGCCCTCCTGTGCCAGCCCGGGGCTGCCAGGCGGCCCCTGGACCGGGCAGCTCTGCCTCCAGCCTGGGCGGCCGCACTGCACTGTTGTCCCCGGCCTCTCTGGAGCAGGCTGCCTGTGCATGACCGCAGGCTGGTTTCTTAATCTCGGAGCCTTTGGAAAACGGGAACCGAGCCATGGCTGCAAACCCCCGAAAGCAAAGGTGGGCT